CTGGCAATTATTTCAAAAAGTCTGGTTTCTGTGTGCTTTTGTCTGTCAAATGTTCTTCACATGCGTCTGTTTTCTGTTTGAAAAGATTTGTATGGCTTCGCCCCTGTAAGTTTTTTATAATGTATGTGGATTTTTAAGGCAAACCTAAATTTAAACATCTTAGCGGGGACTATGGCGCCAGTTGTGCTTGTATTATTAGACTATCTGCCTTGGTCTGTGCAGCCCGATGACAGTTCGAAAGAAAAATGGCGTGCGTTGCTGCGAGGTTGCCGAGTTTACACTCTTAAGGTCTCCTCAGCCCCTACGAAAAAAATAACCCTTTATCTCTAATACCGTCAGGCAAGCAGCCAGCCTTGACTTTTTAAATTGCAAACTGACAAGTATCCAGTTGGCGGTTGGACCTTTGATCTTGCATGTTTGCACTTTTAGCACTACAATGAACACTGAAAAATATCCTCCTTTTAATTTCAACTAGTCTGCAAAATGGACATTTTTTCACACTAGTGATTCCCCACAGGCCGTATAGCAGTCAGGCTGACTAGCAGGAAAAGTATAACAAATCAGTTTCCTGCATGGAATTACACGGTTTGATCGGATCAAATGGCGGTGTGCAGGCCGGAGTCCACAAGGAGACCACACATAGTTCAAATTCGATTTTTAGCTGAACGTGTTTGGTATTTGAAGAATTACTGGCGCATAAGATTTATGAGGATGATTTGTATGGCCGTCTAAAGATGACAATGGAACAGGAACTGCCCTGCGCCAAAATTAGGGGAAATTGGTTTAGCATTAAGGTCAGGGTTAACTTTAAGTATAGCGTTGGTTTAAGGTTGGGGCTAGGATCAGGATTCAGTTAAGCGTTGGGGTTTGGGTTCGTGACAGCTGTAGGATTTAGGTTTAGGGTAGGGTTAAGAGTAAAGCTACCGTCTAGGTTTACGTTGGTATTAAGACACGGGGATATTTACGCTGCCTAAAATTGATCGCGATGCCACCCATTTTAAGTGGGTGGGCGTTCCTATTACTGTATCCTGTTAAGAAGGCCGTACAATTCGTCCTTTTTGTGAATTGAATTTCAAGCTGGGGCGTGGGAAGTGGCGCAGGGTGTTTAAAATTCCCTCCTTCCGATTCCCATCTAGAATGCGATTGGAGAGAAGGCAAAAGTGGCATGCAGCAAGCTGCGCGTAAGATAGCCCAAAGCGATCTTCAAATAGCCCGTCGCTTTCCTAATTGGTCTGTTTTGCCTAATCAAATTTCACAAATGCGGACTGCGATAAAAGTGATAAGAGTAGACAGCTTCAGTCATTTTCCTGTATAGTGAGTGAGAGGGAGAGAGAGATTGGAAGTTAGTGCCAGCGTGCTGTGTCGAAGTGCATGCCCCAACTTAGGGGAACAGTCTACACGGTGGAAAAGTCAACGAGGAATGCACTTTCGCCCTCCTTTCCCCAGAAAGACCTCCCATAAAAGAGCGTGCACGATGACATTAATTAAAGCGCCTTCCACATCGATGGCTACGGCCCGGAAGGAATTTTAAACAGAAAGCAGGAAAGGTAACAGGTAACGCATTGCTCAAGTTCAATTTTTGGCTGGAGAGACTGAGACATGTTTGGTATTTGAAAAGTTACTGGCAAATAAAATTGTTGTGGATGACTTGTATCGCAGTCTAAACAGGACATGGGAACAGGAACCAACCACAATGCATATGACTTTGCGCCAACGTCCGGGTAAATTAGCCTCGGGATTGAGGTGGAGTTCGGGTTAAATTTAGGGTTGTGTTTAAAGTTGGAATTAAGGTCAGTATTAGGGTTAGGATCGGGATTACATTAAAGGTTAGGGTTGGGATTCCTGTTAACTGTAGAATTTAGGTTAAAGGTAGAGCTAGGGTTAAGATTAGGACAACCGTTAAGACAGGGGAATATGTAACGGCCTCGAAATTTGTCAAGAGTCTACCCATTTTCGGTGGGCGGGCGTTCCTATTTGCCTGGCCATGCGAGTTATCCCTAGCATAAACTTTCTAATTAGCCCTTCTTTGTAATAGGGGGTCATTTCGAGAATGTTTGCTGACACGGTCTAACCGGCGAAGCGGTCCTGTTTCTGTTTGCATTCACTATTTCTTCTTGTTTCCTTTGTAAAGCATTCTGCCCTAGTTGGATGCTTCAGACCAAGTCATTTGTCGTCGTTGGACATATGACTGCTTTGGTATATCGCCGCCGTTGGCAGCTCTCGAGTTATTTGTATTCGTCACTTACCTCTATATTTCTGCTCTGTCTCAACCCACCCCCCATAGGTCTGTAGTGCGGCCAATGTGCAGATTGTGACCCTACGACGTACAGAACACCTAACAGAGGAGGACCTCCGTGCCCTGCAGGAGAGCCACAGCGCAGAGGGCGAGTCGCGTGTTTCGGCCATGCCGGGTTCCACCAATCCCCTCACCAATCTCCTAAATGCCTCAGAACACGAGCACGCCAAAAGCGCCGCCACCACCATAGTCACTAATGTGAGTCTGAAAGCCTACATGTCGTTTAATTCTTCCGTAACCGTTCTTTGATTTTCTCTTTCCCACCAACGCCAATTATGACCTTCTCTTCTCTCGTGTCGTGCTGATAGCTCTCCACTAAAATATGCCAGCTTCTTCAGCCTCTAACGGTTGGAGTAGAAAGATCTTAGTTACTATCTGTCCGCGTACCAACTGAAATAGACAGTTGACACTGGCTATGCACCAGGCGACATGAACACATGATACCCCTTCCCACTGGCGGAGTATTTGTTGGTACGGGGCCTAACGATATCTAGTGGGGAACGGACA